ATGAGACCGCTTCAAAGGCATAGGCTTTGTGGAGTGTGCCCCATGATTAGTTAAGAGAAATCCCTGTTCTTCCATGAGAAATCATGGCTGTGGAAAGTTTCCACAGGGAGCAGAGCTTCCGAGGTACTTCACAGTCTGGCAGGATCAAAGCCTTTCCAATAAGATATTGTACGAACTCCCCAATGTCCATTCCCAGAAGATGATATTGAAAAATATGGCTAATGCTAATAATTTCAGTGTCAGTAATGTAAATATAATTTTGCATTGCAGATTATTTATATTTTTAAGATGATTATTCTTGAGTTCCTTCCAGTAGGGTAACAACATGCATTTGTTTATTTATTTTGATGAGGTATTGGCTTATTAAGAGGTAGCTTAATGCAGAGTGCCAAGTTTAGATGTTAATGTTGAGGAATGTGCTGTGTTTATTTTCCCAGGTTAAAGTGGGTCCATCACTTATAAAATAATTGACGGTACACAGACTTATTACTTCTAGTACCCAGACACCCAGCTGCGCACAGCAAAATGCATAAAACCGTTTAGATTTATGTGCATTACTTTTGTTTATGCATTTTCACAACTTTAACAAATTGAGATAGAAAAGACATGTAGATTAATAATCAATAAAAAAATTACTTAATAACAGAAGCCTTCCTTACTGCTTCAGAAAGGTTGCCAAGCGGTCGCTGAAATTAAAAAGGATCAGGCCCAACGCTTTGCATTAAACTAGCCATTTTGAAGATTTAGCAGTTTTTGTTGTAGCTTTGAGAACTGGTTACATATATCACAATATGCCTGTGTTGTAACTGTCTCCCTGCGATTCTATAGCTGACACCTGTTCCTAAACCCCTTCTGGACAGAGGTGTATCTACCGCAAGGCAAACTAGGCATTTGCTTTGGGCGGTGCTTTTGTCTTGGGCTGCAAAAAACACCGCCCCCAAACCAGTGAGGTAGAGCCTCACCTGCCATTAAGAAAAAAAAAATATATATCCTCACCCGAATACATCGACAAGCTGAGCCTCCTCACTCCTGTGCTGGCAGAAGTGATCCAGCCGGCGCCCGAAAGCAGGCACTCGCTGAATCCAGGTTCTGACAGGATAAGCAAAATGCGCAGCGGGATCCCCGCTTCAAAACCAGCGCAACCTGTCAGAAGCTGGATACAGCGTGCCACGTAAAAAAAAAAATGCCACTCAAGTCTGTCCCTTTATCTTTACATTGCCATCTATTCTAAGCACCAGTAGCCGCCTATAGTAGCCTATGCATAAATCTGCTCCAGTGAAATAACTAGAAAGGTAAGAAGTATTTGAAAAAATATTTAAGTACACTGTGTGAATGGGAACACATAACTAACATTGTATGTGTGTGTGTATTTGTGTGTGTGCGGGGGGGGTCATTTGCGGTCTTGAATTGGATGACAAAGCTGAAAATAAGACTTCCAACTTCTATAGTGTATTGTTATGTGTTTATATCACTTCATTTGGGGGTTTGTTTGTATTCAGTCTCAATTGGGCATACATAATATTTTATTATTATTATTCATGATTTATATAGCCCCAACAGTTTGAGCGGCTCTCTACAATATATGGAAGACATTACAGTTACACTACAAATCAAGACAAGATGGTAAGAACGGCCTGCCCGTGAGAGCTTGCAATCTAAAAAGATAGAAATTAGATACATTCAGTTGTTAGTGCCTAGGAGCTGGGTGTCAATACATATCAATACATTGTATATGGCAAAATAAAATCTGACCATCAGCAAATCAACCTGGAACATGAGTGTGATTGCAGAGGATCTCAGGGAACAGGTAATCTCATAAGTGCCACTCTATGGTCAGTCAAAGATAAACAAGCCGGTTGTTTTTCCCAGTTGATCTCATTAGATACTGTCTCTGAGACAGAGTGATGCTTCTTGAATGCTTTAGCGCTTCAGTCTAGAAATAAGAGCAATCTAGAACCAAATGGCAGAGCCTAGGGATATAATGTGTAATTTATTCAAACTACATAATGTAATATCACTGGCCTTTTAGAGAATGCTCATTGTAAAGATATCCCCCCAGCATATTTCATTCAGTGACCCAGAGATGAACAAAGATTGCATGCAATGGACAATAAAAAGAAAACTTTAAAGGTTGTTTATTTAGGTAGGGCAAGGAGCAGTGACTATGTGCACAGTTATTTGGGGGTTATAGTTGTCACATGGTATAAAATCTGGGTTCCATGGGTGTATAATTTGCCTAGATGCAGTCTGCAGTGCCTATTTAAAGTAAAAATACTCGTGTTTATTTTAGAGTTGTGTAAATTAAGGAAGAGTCTGATCTTTAACCAAGCATTTATTGATGATTTTAGCCATGGTAATAATGTCAGAGACCTGATGGTGGATTGTCAATAGGAATATACAGTATGTAGGAAGGTCCAATACACTGTATAGAACATGATGACTTACAGGACCTTAGGTCCAATACACTGTATAGGATATGATGACTTACAGGACCTTAGACTGCTGGAGCGGAGGGGGAGCGAAGCGTCAGGGACCGGTCTAACAGCAGCCAGCTGTGAGGTTCAAATGAGTATATCTTTCTCATTTTAAATGAAAACGAGCACTTAACCCTTGAAATGCGTAGGTAGCCCCACTGCAATGGTTAAGAATAATTACACTCAGAGTTCTTTAAGGCTTAGAGCAGGGATGGCGCTGCTTTATACCATGAGCTCTATGTTTAAAAGTACCAGTGTTGAACTCTCGGTGCTGAAAGCTATTGAATTAAAGCTGTAGGTAGAGATCTACATTAAACAAGCTTTTGTTCGATTCATTTCTTTTGTACTAATGCATAATATGGAGCAGAAACAAGTAGTATGAATTAAAAAGATATACACAAATATAGCGTTTGACAGAATAATAATAGGGAAAGGAATGAATGTAGCTCATACAGTATATTCCATAAAGACAGGCAATAGTGTGCCCTATGTTCTGTGACCTAGAAGCTTTCAGGGGGATTCATCAAAAGTGGAACAGAGAAAATCTGTAGCAGTTGTGCATGAAAATCCGCTTCTGTCTTTCATGTTTAAATCTCAGCTGGACAAACTAAAGTGATAAGCTGATTGGTTGCCATGGGCAACTGCTCCAGTTTTGACAAATTCCCCCCTTTATGTTCATATGAACACTGGTAATGTACTTTGTAGCATTTTACAGCAGAATGATTAATGACTTTTTTTCATTGCTTCTGTATTTAAAAAGTGATATTAGTTACAGGTAATATCCTTATTTAAGTGTATGTGAACCCTATTGTACATCGTTCGGAATTAGATTCCCTTGGCTCCAACAGTGTACTTTGTGAGTCCTTTTAATTCCTTAAAAAGCAATGAAATGATTTATGAATATATAAATTACATTTATACACCTGCTGATCCTGCCAGTCCCCTTCATCTGGTTTCCTTCTTTGTCAGTTTGTGTCTGTGCCTTCTTAATGGGAGATACAAGACTTTGGGGGTGATTTACTAACCTAAACACACACACACACCAGGTGTGTGTGATTTTCACACAGCAAAACGTATTTATCAACCAAAAAGTCTCTAAAAGCATATTTCCACTAATGCCATATATGGAAAAATCATGCACATGATGCATATATAATGCTGCTTCACAGTTTAGACAAAAATGGTTAGCTCATGCATTTACATTCCTGCATTCATCAACGCAAGCAACACAACATAGAGCTAATTTACCCAACATCACCTTGGAATTCCTTCAGGGCTTTGCACAACACACCTGCTGGGTGTGTACACATTACAAAGGTGTTTAGATTCCACCCATAGATCATGCTGGGAGGGAACACACTGCAGAGGTGTATACACGTTCGTGGTGTGTTTATAAGGTTAGTAAATCAACCCCTTTGTGTCTATGCACGGTGTTCCTGTACTCCTAAAGTCAAAAATTTGTTGAAATGCCCCGTCCAGCCCTGTCTTGCTTCCTGCTCTGGAGTTACAGGATACTGTGCCTGTGCTTCCATGATCAGAAGGCTGCCTCCCTGCCCAGCCCAACTTTCTGCTTGGGAGAAACAGAACGCCAGACCTGCACTGCCATGACCAGAGTTCTATGGACGTTTTCTTCTGTTCACATACACATTTTGGATAAGAGTGGTGGGGGTAGAAACACTGTCAGATTTTTAAGTGGATAGTGCCCTCACTATTGTTCTGGTGACCACTGTCTCTGGTACAAAAAGTGATGGGAAATTAAAAATTTGGAAATGTCACAGAAACCGGAGGTGAGGAAAAATTTCCCAATGGATAAACCTGTTTTGTTGACAACTTTATAAGGTTTGTCATACACTGCTGGACACAAGTTGATTACTCAGTTAACTTTTGTTGAAGGAGCCAGGTCAAAATGTTTCAGCCCAACAGTGACTGCAGCCACTGTTCATGTATTCTAACCATGGCGGGCGCTGTCTATCCGAATACGATTCATCCATCCATGCTGTTTAGGGTTTTTAACTATACCCTACTCTATCCAAAACCAGCAAACTGTAATGATTCGTGCAAGCACAGCAAGATATATATATATATATATATAGGATCGCAGCTGCGGAGGTGAGTAGGAATGGTTCAGGTGGAGGGTTCACGGTTACACTTTAGTGCAGTGAGTGACGTCGGAACCCCTTACACATCATACACCATTTGTTCTAATAGTATGTTAGTAGTGGCAGCGAACTCCCACAGAACCACAATTTACCAGCATTGGGGTCTGTTAGGATTTGTATTTTACTCGCCTGGTTAACTTCACTAGGGGTGATGTGCGTGGGTACTCAAGATAATACGATAGCTACGACAGTTCAAAGAATAGGTTATGATATGGTTGGTATCCTGGGGTTAGTTAACTTCACTAACCCAGAACATGGCAATCACTTAATTCCTAATAAGAAATCACAGTCCTATGCATCATTAGAATGGAGTCAAATGGTAAGAAGAGAGGATGAGGGGTAGTGGAGCTTCCCAGCTAGGTCTCAGCCTTCCACAATCTAATTGATTGCAACATGTGAGTAATGGCTACTTGCTGTTTGGTGGGGGAAGCTTGTCCCAGGATGTGCTGCTGAATCCACTCTGCGAGGAGTCCAAGTATAGTAGAGGCAATGGTTCAAGAGGCTGTAGCTGACTCTCCTGTTCAAAGATATTGTTCAAGTCCCTAAGTAGCTTGCTCGACGTACTACTTTGCTAGAACGTCGAGCAAGTGGACAGCCTACGTTTATGTAGGCAGAGAACGGTGGTTGGGGGCGGAGCCAGAGGCGAGACCCGACCCGAGCGTCTCCTAGCAACGGGACGCCGCTGGGCCGAGCTCGCCGCGTCATCACGCCGGCTCAGCTGTTCAGAAGAGGGAGGAGTGGAGCGCTGAGGTGCGCCCGCCCGTCGCTCAGCAACAAGACGCTGTTGACGGGGCCGTCCCCGCCATGGTCTGGGGCTACGGAGCGGTATCTGATCCTGACACAAACAAATGTTTTGGCTAGGGCTGCAACAACTAATCGACATAATCGATTATAATCGATTATTGAAAAAGTTGTCAACTTTTTCAATAATCGATTAATCGGCTTCCGATCAGTTGGCCCTGTTCACAGCTCCACACGCTGTGCGCCGCACCTCCTCCCCACCTCACGCTCGCCGCTGCCAGACCCGCTCGCATCCACGCTCCACACGCCGCACCTCCTCCCCGCCTCACATTTCCTGCCCATCCACATCCACGATCGGCACAGGGACGCGGGGAGATGTAGTAAGGAGGAGCAGGTGTGGGGGGATGACAGCTGCTGATAGACAGGTCCGATCTCAGAAGCACGTTGCTGGAAGACTGCACTTTCCCACACATGGTGCTCTATAATGTATTGCTGGGATTTGTATTTCTCTATAGCTGATGGTACATTGTGCTGTATATTATACATAGGAATACAAATCCCAGCAATACATTATACACTGTATGTATAATGTATTGCTGGGATTTGTTGTACTCCTCTATAGCTGGTGATATTCTGCATTGCGCTGTATAGAGGACTACAAGTCCCAGCAATAATACATTATACAGCGCAATGCGGAATACCACCAGCTATAGAGGACTACAACAAATCCCAGCAATAGTACATTATAAAGTGGTACAATGCTAAATACCACCAGCTATAGAGGACTACAAAACCCAGCAATAGTACATTATAGAGCGCAATGCAGAATACCGCCAGCTATTATGTACTATTGCTGGTATTTGTTGTATTCCTCTATAGCTGGCGGTATTCTGCATTGTGCTGTATAATGTGCTTTTGCTGGGTTTTGTAGTCCTCTATAGCCGATGCAATTCTGCATTCATTGCTGTATAATTTTACACTTTCCATTTCACTATATTGCACACCACACTATCTTTTTTCTTTTTTACTTCCACCGCTCCAATCTTGCTCCTGTGATGGACTACAACCTCAATACAAACTAGTAGTCCTATCACTGGAGCCATTTTTTAAACTTTATTTTATTGTTTATCCGATTAACCGATTAATCGAACTTAATAATCGGCTAACTAATCGATTTTGAAAATAATCGTTAGCTGCAGCTCTAGTTTTGGCTTAACAAACCCTTTAAGAGACAACTTCTAAGTTAGGACTATCAAAGTGAAGATCGCTATCGTTGTGCTGCAATTTGCTCTGTCTAGCTCCAAGACTAAGTGAAGTTAATATTGTTGCTCCCTTGATCAACCGATGGCAGTGCTGGAGTTTTCTTGTATTTTACAAGGTTAAAAGTTCCCCAGTCACCACGTTATGCCTCACTGTTATGTAAAAATGGCAATGGACAAAAGTGAACTTTAAAACTGTATATGGTAATTTGTAAGAAATAGTGATCAAGAAGTAGCAGTGAGTGTGGGACCTTTGTTATCTCTTTCTTGAATTGTTTTTGGGACTTTTATATGGTCTGAGTATGATGGGGGATTTTAAAAATACACAGATCTTGGTAGATGCAGAGAACCTCTATATTGAATCATTAAGGTCACTGTATCACTGTGCTATGTCCCATGACTAAATAATAATGTCAGTGTGGCTACTTTATGTGCCTTTCATTGAACAATTTACTGGAATGAAACACTTACTTTTGTTAACCAGAAAGCATTTCCTTCCAACTGATTTTTTTAATGTGTTACTGAGGAATCAACCTGCTTGCATTTATTGCTAAGCCCTGGCCACCCGCCATCCCCCTTCTATTGTTACAGCCCTTCTCAGTCTCTCTTATTGGACACAGGAGCAGCATATGAGTGGGACTTAATCTGAATGTCAGGACCACAGAGATGTGGCTTTATTGGCTAACAAATAACATCACGTACCTTGTGGTCTCAGCAAGACTTTAACTTTCAAAAGTTTGATTGGTTCACTTTAAATTGTGCTAAATTCTATAAAGTATTTTGCTCAAATTATATTGTACCTAATTTACAGCTTTGTCGTCTTTAAATGATCTGGAAATATCTAATATGTGGAGTTTGAAGCAATTTTATCTGCATGTACCAGTAATTCTAACTCTTCAATACCATGTAATAAATTTGTAATTAAAATGTCCATTTGTATTTATTAGGCGGCAAATTACCTCATAACAGAGCCGATGGTCATTAAAGGTAATTTAGTGAGGAAATAATGAAGGAACAGTATCTGCAGTGATGCTTCCAGTCGCTCTGATAGGGAGGTTGTGTCCTTGTCCTGTAGTTCACGCTGAGGTGGATATTTAAGTGAAGGAAATGTTTTGTTCATCACAAGCCACACAGGGGCTATTTTAGGGTTAGGTCCGTCCTATTTAAAGCCTTCATCTGCTCTTTTCTACAAGTACTTGTAAGTGTCCCAGATTCTCTAGCATCAGGAAAGCAGGGCCTGGCTGTGAAACAGTCATCTGAAAGCAGCCAAATAATGCATATATATGGAAAACATGTGTTTTGCACTGCAGCCCCTTGTGATGTTGTGACTGTTGCTGCCATGCTTCATCTTGATGGAAGAATTTTCCTAAGAGGCTGAATAGGTAAATCATTTGCACATGAATAGAGAAACATTGTGCAGTAGATTTGGTGTAAAGCACTTCTTGCCTGCAGCAACCTTTGACTGCATTTAGGGTCAGAGCCTTAAAAGACTTCGCAAAATCTACAACTCTCCAATATAGGTTACTGCTGCTTAATAGGACAAGGAGCATATTAATACCTGACCAGAAATTGGTAATCCAGACAAGCAGAAGCATGACTGAGACACTTGCACATGAACATAACCCAACCCCCATTCCCTTAAGTGTTTTGTAGAGTTCACTTTAAAGGGAATCCTTTTGAAAAGACATCTGCCTCAAACACTTCTGTTGGAAGCTGCAAGTTGCCATTCTCCAACCTCTAGAGCTACTAGTTTAGGGTCAATGGTTTCACTTGCATTGAAGCTGAAAGTGTTCAGCTTTCCTGCCCAAAAACTAGCATGTCGCCCAAGAGTCAGAGAAAGGTTGCTGGTATCCCAGGCTTCTGAGACAGGCATATTGAAATTAGTGAATTCCATTGTGTTTCTGGGGTTTTTGCTTGAAAAACAAAAATCCAAACAGCATTACCACTCGCTGTGATGCATTGTTTAAAATAGCCATGGTAAATATACCCAGAATACTGCATGGACCTTTAATCGAGAGCAAAACCAGCCTGCTATATAAATAAATAAACATTCAGCCTGTTTGCAGCAGCTGTAGCCGTGCTTCGTGCGGAAAATGAAGGCAGATGATCAATTTGGCCTGTGCCCTGAGTACATTTCCAAATGCTTCAGTGTGTGCGCAAGATAATGAACAAATATATTGAGATGGCACAAGATCAGTACGAGTTTACTGCTGCAAAAGCATCTCCCTCTCCCCCCGGAGGGGGGCTTGCGAACTCTGCTGGGTTAATGGGGGTGAGGGTCCCTTTGCTCACCACCTTTCAGAAAGACTTAAGAAAAGAATTTGTCTCCTTTTGCCCCAGGCTCCCTGTTGCGCTCAAAGGGAGCTTTTGATAAATGGAAGTGTATTTATTAATAATGAGCTGGGGCCGGCTGTCTGTGATCTGAAAAGTGATGCTTATCAGACAATGTTTTCCTGTGGCATTCGAAGGCTCCAAGCACTATAAGGTATTGTGGATGTGCAGCGAGGCGAAAGCTCTCACCCAATTAACATCTTTTACTTCAATTTTTTTTCCTAACTACTATTATAATGTATTTAGTGCAGAAAAAAAATTAACGTTTTCACCACCAAACAGTTTTTTAGGCTTCACATTTGGTATAGTTCTTGCTTGGTGCACTGCTTCCCGTCAGCACAGAAATTAAGCTAGTCTTATACACAGACATAGGTCTAATATTCCAAGGAAAGAAGAGGAATATTGCTATTACTCAAACACATAAGACATTTGACTGATTTGTAAAGTTGATTGTTTTTCATTAAAGGAAAAGAGATGTTCATTTTATATTCGTGGGAAAAAAAGTTCTCAAAGCAACCCTGTCACTTAAACACACTTGCTATCAAGTACCTGCAAGAAGCAAGTAAACGCTTCTCTGGCTGCCTGAGGCTAAGTAGTGTTCCAATGCAGAGAATTCCCCATTCCGATGCAAAGCAATTCTGACACTTCAGAGAGTGTTGATCTCCCTTGTCGCCTGCTGCTTTCAGTAGTTCTCCCTGCCAACCCCTACATCACTACTGTTTCTTCTACTGACATGGGGGTCAGCAGGTCCAATCATCATATACCTAAGTGGTCCTGCAATTTTACATGATGTTGTAGTAGTGCACACCCATATTCCAATGCTGAAAATTGGAGGAAGGCACTACCAGTTGGTACCACAGTGTAAGGTAAGAATTACTCTGTTAAATAGTCTATTCTTCAGGGGGGGAGCAAATTTAATCATTATCACTTCCTTAGCGCGGATATACTAAGTACCATTTGTGTAGCAATGAAAATATACTGAGATGGATGGGTCTTTCAGCATGACAATGAGCCAAAACATTCTGCCAAGGCAACAAAGCAGTGGCTCAAGAAGAAGCACATTAAGGTCATGGAGTTGCCTAGCCAGTCTCCAGACCCTAATCCTATAGAAAATTTATGGAGAGCTGAAACTTCGAGTTGCCTAACGACAGCCAAGAAACCTTAAGGATTCAGAGAAGATCTGTAAGGAAGAATGGGCCAAAATCCCTCCTGAGATGTGTGCAAACCTAGTAACCAACTACAAGAAACGTCTTACCTCTGTGCTTGCCATCAAGGGTTTCTCCACCAAGTACTAAGTCATCTTTTGCTTGGGGATCAAATACTTATTTTACTCACTGAACTGCAACTCAATTTATAACATTCGTACCGTGTTTTTTCTGGATTTTGGTTTATATTCTGTCTCTATCATTTAAAATACACCTATGTACTGTAGAATGTACATCTCCTGTTTTAATGTATGATTTTGTTTTTATAACTATAAATAAAGGGATGTACAGATACCAGTTTTGCGAGTACGAGTACTGTTACTTGCCGAGTACTTACAAGTACGAGTACTGATACATTTTTGTTTATTGCCATGTGACAGTTTTTCTAAAACAATATTGACTAATAATTTCAGGACAATGGTGGAGTGCCAGAGCCAGGTCCCAGCTGCAACCACTGCAACCCTGGTAGTTCTCATGAAAATGCCAAGTATCTGCGCTGGTACTCGAAAAGTATCTGTGCATCCCTAGCCTTAACCTTCAACTTGTCTACCGCAGGCGGGCCACAGAGGGACGTATATGGGAAGCCTTACTTCACATGTGCTCTCAGTGACAGGAATAGGCAAATTAGTTACCCATTTGGTCCTTTTCTGTGGTTGCGTCCCTCCTGCAGCCCCCCTGGGGAGGAGAAGTTGAAGGTTACCTTTTTAATCAAGAATCCTTTTTAGTGCTTCCTCACTGATTTCGTTTCACATTGTTAGTGGGACTTGACTGCACCTGATTTTATGGCTAATCACCAACCAACCTTCCCCTGTCCATTCAAAGTGACCATATTGGCCAATGAGGTAATCTTATTGGATGGAAACTGAAATGGCAGTTGGCATGATTTGGCAATCGGGTAAGGGAAAGTCAGACTCTAGGAACAACGTGAAAATACATAAGTGAGATGCCTGGAAGAGGTTTTTTTTATATGCTGCATGTGTTGTGGTCCATACCAGGGAGTCAAGAGAGAGCCCCTAAGTATAGAGTCTTAGTTTTCCTCACAGTGTTATCTGGCTTAGCTGATTAATTTGTTTTAACCCGACAAACCTTAAACATTTGAACATCCTCAAAAATTTTAACTTTGTTAACATTTAGACATGAGATGAGAATGTAGGTTTTTTTTATTGCTACTTCTTTAATACTTGTTTAATTTTATAGTCTAGTGTGAAATTTTGTATGTGAACTTTTCAAGTTTACTATTTGAAGCCAGCAAGTAATACGCTAAAATTGATCACTCTAGGTTTTCCGAACAGTGATCTACTGTTCTGCATTTTGTGTCATTTTATCCCCTGCATTTTATAACTATTTGCAATGCACACACCCTTCTCTTTTAACTCCTATGAATCCCTAAAGATTTTTATTTAGAGAGAGCCCACAAGTGAAAAGGAAGTGGTGAACTTTATTATTAGAACGCCCAGTATGTTCTGCAATCTAAATTTCATGGAGTTACCCTGTGTTTAATGTCTTTTTGTAATGTTTCTTTAGAAAAGGAAAATACTTTATTAACTACAAAGAAGAAAAACCATTGTAGTTTCCCTTTACTGTGTGTCGTTTGCGGCAGAACCTGTGTTATTAAGGTAATTGCTAATGAAGTTAGGCAGGCATCTCCTCCTAGTCACAGGAAGCAGGTGTAAATGAATATGGTCTGTCACAAGCACTGACAGCACTCCTTAATTCCCCGCAACAAATAGGGGATCCAGCAGCCATGGTACATCTAAAAATTGATATTTACTCAGGCAGGTTAATAGCGCCAGCCAGGCCTCTAATTTGATTTCCTGTGCGCAACCTCATTAAGTCTGACAGCTCCAATATGAAGCAACTTCTCTGTGCTGGCATTATTGGTGATTGCTTGATAACATCTGGAAAAGACCCAAACAATTAAGGAATTAATAAAATTGATTGGAAGCTGCAGAGCTCCATTTTGTGTGCCTGTCATTTCCTTTCACATCGGAACATAGCTTTGGGGAACACATCCTTAACCATGTTGTACACTTGTTTTTGCATTAAATTCATAGATCAGTTAGATAAGCTGTAACAGGATAGGATTGCTAATTTACAAGGTCATTTTGCAGTGGATAATTTATTTTTGTACTGAATTAATCTGTGACAGTAGCTTTGAGAGCATATCCTAACATTCCCAGTTGGGAAATCAAAAGAAAGTGGGCCATTCTTCAGGTCTCATCAAACAAAGCTTTATCTATTTCTGTTTGGGTTGTAACTTTACAAAATGCAGAATAGCTAGCTTGTCTTTGAACATAAGGATTTGTATACAGATATACTGACATTCCGATATGGTTTAATAAAACTGTAAAACAACACGTCAAGGACGTGAGAGCGTTAGAGAGCGGCATTTATAAAATATAAGACGGAGGGGACGGCATTGGCGTTCCCCTAACTACAAAGAATGTAACAAAAAAATGCAAACTCGAAATCTGGGCAGCTAAAACTGAGTGCAAAAAGCATATCACCGCAGATAGTTAAAAGAACTCCCAAAAATTCTACCAATATATTAACAGTGAAAAGGTGAGAAAGGAGCAGATAGGCCCAATAAAGGATGTAAATCCTTACTAGCTTCCCCCTATGTAATGTTAAGGGGGGGGGGGGGTGTGGGAGGAGGTTATGTTTACTATAATTAACCCTGTATGTACTGTGCTGGAAGATTTCATTTTTAGTTGTGAACTAGATGTGAACTCGGTCTGTCCCAAGAAAAGATTAAAGGTCTAGAAGCATTATATGTTAATGGAGGAAGTTTATTGTGTCCCTAGCTTTTCTATGGGAACAGACTCGCTTTCAAACTGTTCAGAATGGCTTGTAGTTTGCACAAAGGCCTCCTCCAAAGAAATATCTAAAAGGATAAGAAATATTTAAAAAATACATATTTTAGGTATGCTTGGTGAATGGGAACACATAAGCAAATAGTGGGGTTCTCTCAAATTTGACTGCAAAACTGGAAATAATCGTTAAGCTTCTTGACACACCCCTACTTTTTGCTATGTGTATAGCTCCTATAAAGTTAAAGTGCTTTTGTCTCATTATTCTAAATTTAATAACATACATTACTTAGTGACAGCATGCACCACTAGGTGCCTGCAGATGTCTTTTTCATTAAAGCTAAATCCTAGGCAAACAGATAAGCACACAGTTGAAATACATATATCTGGAATGTCTAACTGGCCAGAGAATTAGTAATTCTGTTCAGAAAAGTCTTGTGATCAAGGCATCCCTGTCAGATAGCTTAACCAGCTCCTGGACCTTTCTGTGGACTGCAATGCAGTTGAGCAATACAGCCTTGTCTAGGATGAGCCGCCAAGGGGTCAGCTGCATGCTAACGAGGTTCTGATTTTGTTCTCTAGTCTTGTCAAAAAGCTTTGAGTGTTGCTACAGTCAGGGGCGGACTGACCCATCGGGCAGTCGGGCGCTGCCCGAGGGCCCGCGACCAGCACGGGGCCCGTGGCCAGGCATCTGTCCTTTTACTTGATCTGCAAAAATGCTGCATGCACTATTTTGTGCAGATTGTACTGGACCAGAACGCGGGCACTAATGTGTCACACGTTTGGGTGCCGTCGATCGCACTGGGGGCAGGGGGCTCAACTGCGGTGCCGTTGAGTTCACTGCACCACCACACCCCCTCCTGCCCCAAAACAAAGTGAGCCGGCCAGGTTGGTGACGGATCATATACGTGATCTAAGGCCCCCAGGACGCGGTGACATGGCCGCTTCTAAACTGACATCTGGGTACAATTTACAGTGTTTATAGAAAGTATTTATCCCCCTTCTCCGGCAGTTTCAGTGATCCTTTTTTTTAAGTTTGTTTTTTCATCATGCATTTTTCTATTTTGCGTTCCTTACTTCTGCTCTCTGTGCGCTCCTTACATCTGACATCTGCACTCTCTGCATTCCTTACTTCTGACCTCTGCACTCTGTGCGTTCCTTAGATCTGACCTCTGCACTCTGTGCGTTCCTTAGAGCTCCAAGACCCATGATGCATTGCAAGACTTTTGCATATGCATGGCTCCCACGGTAAGATGCATGGTGGGATTTGTAGTTTTACCACAGCTAGAGGAATGACATTTGCCCACCCCTTGTAATAATGCATTGGGTGGATTTTATATGTGCAAAGCCCAAGGGGGCCCCGTAATCTCTTATCGCCCGGGGGCCCCATATGTTGTCAGTCCGCCCCTGGCTTACAGTAATACAACAGAGCCTGACTGGCTCAGTGTGATACCCCCCTTTCCAGCCTTGTTTTTTCAGGTGGTTTCAGAAGGCTGATATCGAGACATTCAGGTATTTATTCTAGCTGTATGTACAAACAATGTTTTTTTAAATCATAAAAGCAATACATTGTGTTTTTGTATCCTGGATTTATCTTTATTGCGGTCCTTTTGTATGTTTCTAGTAGAGCTGCAGCTAACGATTATTTTCAAAATAATTAAGTTCGATAGGGCTGCAACAACTAATCGACATAATCGATTATAATCGATTATTGAAAAAGTTGTCAATTTTTTCAATCATCGATTAATCGGCTTCTGATTGGTTGCCCCTGTTTACGGCTTTACACACACTGCGCGCCGCACCTCCTCCTCACCTCACGTTCGCCGCTGCCAGACCCGCCCGCATTATAGAGCACCATGTGTGTGAAAGTGCAGGCTTACCTGAGCAGTCTTCCAGCAACTTGCTTCTGAGATCAGGCCTGTCTATCGGCGGCTGTCATCCCCCCACACCTGCTCCTCCTTACTTCTTCTCCCTGCGTCCCTGTGCCAATCGTGGATGTGGGCGGGCGGTGAGCGTGAGGCAGGGAGGAGGTGTGGAGTGTGGATGCGGGTCTGGCAGCGGCGAGCGTGAGGTGGGGAAGAGGTGCGGCGCGCAGCTTGTATGGAGCCGTGAACAGGGCCAACTAATCAGAGGCCGATTAATCGATGATTGAAAAAGTTGACAACTTTTTCAATAATGAATTATGTTGATTAGTTGTTGCAGCCCTAGTTTCTAGAGTGGTCCCTTACTGGGGAACTCAAACTTTTTTCCGATCCTACTGCAGCCTCAATATCAGCTTTAAACTGGAGCTACGTAGGGAAATGGGAATCTAAATTCCACCTCTCAATCTCTCCTCTTCTCTTGCCGCCCATATGACGGAAGTCGACTATAAGTTACTATCCAGATGGTATAATGTCCCTGTCAAACTACATGCATGTTATTCCTCATCCGACCCTCACTGTTGACGATCTTGCAGAGCTCTAGGTATCTTTGCTC